AATTTGCAGTTTCTGAGAACATTTACCATAGTAGTGTATATTTTTTTTATACCATCAGAAAGTAGAAATTTCAACAAACAAAAAACACATCAACTTTTTTAAAAAAGCAGATATTTTGACGTGAGAATTTTCGATTGAAAATAAGGGTGCTTTTTCGATATTAAGTCAAAATAAGGTGAAAAAATGAATATTTTAAATCAAAAAAATTACTGTATGTTTGGGACATACAAAGGTAAGTTTTCACTAAGTTTCGTGACAGAATTTTTTTTTGCAAAAAATAAAAATAAAAAACTAAAAACTCGGTTATTCGAATTTTTCACATAGATTTTGAGGTTATGTGAAAAAAGTGTCGATACAAAAGTTGTACATCTTTTTATTACCTACAACTTTGCCATTTAACTTTATTTCATAGGACTTGCAGTTTTACCGGAAATCGAGATTAACCGGTTTTTACCCTTAAAAACTCACCTCCTCCCCCTTCCCGACCTCAGATCGCCCGTAATTTATTTTTCCTTTCATTTTTGTTATATTCTCTACCTTTTCCAATGGGTTTCATCGTACTATAATTTTTTTGGTCTCAAAAATTATCGACCCTGGTCTATAAAAGATGATTACTGATAGATTGTAAAGACCCTTCTTTGCCGGGTTCACTGCCTCGCATGCAGGGCCGTAGCCAGAGTTGTATTTGAGATATCTTTGCCGGTTCACTGCCTTGCATGCAATATAGGAAGGGCATAAGCATGATTTGCACGCATTTCTTTTGAAAGAAATCAATTTTAAAATAATGAAGCGAACAGACCTGAAATAGTCATTTTTCGAATTGACACTTATCGTATTAAAAAAAAAATTCCAAAATTATTTCAACCAAAATAATTACTTTAGATATTAGTTCCATTCTTATACCATTAAAAAAGTTAAAGTACGTCAGTAACAACATTAGTAAAAACGATTTTTAATATGCCGTTGTTCTACCGTTTTCCATAGTGCGGCGTGCCGAACAGCAATTAACGAGTGTATAAACGCTGGTCGTGTGGACAGCTGCACAATGATGGTATCGATCATGGCCAATCTGTGACCCACCGTTGTAGAGGAGCCATTGTATGTGCATCTGAAGGTTCAGAAGCTTTGCACTGATGGATTACACATAACGAAGACTTAACAGAGGACAAGAAACGGCTGCGTGACGAAACCTGGGTTGTACTGCTTAGAACCCGAAAGAAAAACCAATCGACAGAGTGGTTCTATAATTTTGAAGATTTGCCGACGAAAGTTAAAACAGTCAAAGCCTGGACAGAAAAAGGGTTTTGTTCTTTATTCGGCGACTTGTAAATACGGAACAAATATGGAACTAATAACACACTCGCTTTACTAGAACAGACCTAGCACCCTGCGACTTCTTTTTTTGTTTCCAAAAAGTACTGACAATTTTGCAGGCACACGTTTCACGAGCCTCCCTGAATCGGAATCGGTAAATGCGATTCATGAAGCCATTGGGTACGGCCAGAGTGCACTCAGATTCAGACTCAGAAAACAAGCGCGAGAAATATACAGTGTAGTTTAAGCAGGTTGCCTGCTGCCACTATGGCCACCCTGCTTTAACTACATTGTTTATTTCTCGCGCTTGTTTTCTGAGTCTGAATCTGAATCTGAGTGCACTCTGGCCGTACCCATTGAAAAGGTCCCTATGTAGACTGGTGCAACTGCTTTGTACAATGGTTTCGGCGTATGCTAAAATGTCTTAATTGCGAACTACTTTGAACAACAATAAATAAATATTTCCTACACTCACACCAATAAATGTATCGTAAGTCAGAATCCAGAAACTTTCAGTGTGCCCTAATCTTAAATCCTTAAATTAGCGTCATTCAATATCACAGATGCGCATTAAATAACTAATTAAATATTATTAGCAATTTAAAAGTGTTTAGTCTTAGTACTTACTTAACATTAGCATGGACCTATTATTGGTCCATGACATTAGTAAGTTTATTTTTTAACTAAGTAGGTACTTACTTCAAGCGGTAATTAAAACAATCATTGTTTAATGAGTCATTGCCAAGTAACACTTTCTATTGACGATTGAAATTGTTTTAAAGTTGCAAGTGTGACGAAGACGAAGTGATTTCTTTTTTTGTTTTCATCAACTTTTCAAAACTGTTCATATCAGTCTTGTCTCTACTAATAATATAAGGAGGAAAGATTTGTTTGTTTGTAATAAATAGGCTCCTAAACTGCTGGACCGATTTGAAAAATGCTTACTCATTTAGAATCCTACATTATCCATAAACATAGGCTATAGAGTATTTTCAAAAAAGTTAGGGTGTGAAAAAACATACTAAAAAATAACCTTATATCGTTTACACTGCGCAAGTCCTTGACAATAGAGCAAAGTAATGTACCAAAGTTTTATAGGGGACAACAATATCTACAAAAAGTCCGCGACATCATATTTATTACAGTTATGTCTCAACTAAACATCCCCTAGGATTTAAGCCGCGTTTATTTGAGGAAAAAGGTTATTGTGAGTCAAACTTATAAGATGAGCATATTATTATGCCGTCGCGGTCATTTTTATAGAACTTGTAAAGAGGAACAATTCTGTCATAGATGATATTTGTGTAATTTTAATCATTTACGCAGCGCACGCAACGGAATCTCACAAATGGAATATTTTTACCAGTTTTTGCAACATTTTACATCGGTACTCCGCTCCTACTAGTCGCAGCGTGATGTTCCATTAGTTCCTGAGATTTGCGAGTTCATTCAAAGAAATGGTGCATTCAGTAGGTACAATGGGTCCTAAACTAGGCACGCAATAATATTTTCACTATCAGTTAAAGAAATTTTCATGGAAGGTTTATAATTATATAAAGAAATCCATTGTGTATAATACAAGCCTGGGAACAAAAACTAAAGTCTCCCCTACAGCTCTACACTGAAGCGAAGCGAGGGCGGGCCACCAGTTCTATGTGAAATAAAGTTACAAGTTCTATATTATCTCAGTCAATAATGTTTATTGTTAAAAATTATTGACTGAGATAATATGACAGATTCAACTGTGATAAAATCGGTGAAATTGCAATATACATAGTGACAACGTCAGCAGCAGTAAAGTAATATTTTTGAACTCATTAAATAAATAAAATGCCTTTTGCCTGCCTTCATGCATTATCAATATTCTGAATAGGTAATAAATAATCCTTTTCACATTAAGCTTAAACATTGCCCTTGATAGACCCATTGATTACCTCAAGTCCATGCACACAAAGGTACACATTGATTCCTTAAAATAATTATAAAAAGGTAAAACAAACAATGGATGGCAATCATCGAATTAAGCTAGAGTGTTTTCTTTATTTGTAGCCCTATGTTTCGGTTTATACTTAAGAACACGGAGCGAAAAAGTATTCGAAAAGATCGGTCTTACTTTTACTATAATAGTACTTTCCTGTGTGTACAAATTAAATACACACGCTACATTTAATTCACTCCTATAATATCTAATAATATTTTTGCTGATATTTTAATAAGGTTATAATAATATTATTATGATTAGATAAAATTATTTTGAAATTCGCATGCGCAGGTATATCTCTCCTTAAGAACAGAACAACATTATAAAAGTGATACATATACATAATAATAACAACGCTAATGTTTATGTGCATAAATAATTATTTTATGTACAAGTATACAAAGAATTACTAATGTAATGAGAGAACAAATGTGTCATTAGTTTATTGTTAAAAAATATCACGAAAACAGAAATACCGTTTATGTGACCTGGAAACCTCGTCTTGCTCCTTTTTTAATATACATAATAATTATGGTCTTTTGTTTTCTTTGAAATTGGCCTTCACTTTATACCTATCTAACCTGTGCCATTAATGTTACTTATCCACTTATTTCAATCCAACTTAAACGCAGAATAGGGTATTTGACAGTATTAAATATTATTTGATAGTATTAAAATTAAAGCACCGATAGTACGCTTCTGTATTTAAAAATTGACAGCGATTTTTACTAAATTTACAGAAAAAAAATATAGATTATGCTTGTTAAAAATTACGAACTAAAATAGCTTTTTTTTTTATCTATTGTCACGTGACCGAAAAGACCTAGGATTGGCGGAGCCTAAAATTATCTTACACATATGTGAACTTCCGGTCAAATTAACATTACTTGTATCTAAAGACATAGATCCGGTGGAGTCAAGATTAAAACAATTAGTAATGAATAAAAATGAAAATCTATTCCATGTTTCAAACAACCACGCTTGGGTGGATCGAGCTTTATGACCCAGTACTGAGTCTTGCTGAAAGGACCATTTTTTGTTATGGAACATTGTGTTGTTAAGAGGCTTAACCACCTTCTCAAGAATCGTATCTTGATACACTCACACCCCACCAAACCATCACTGAAGTCGGATTATGCCCACGTTGTACTCTGTTGCCTAATTAGTCAGCAGATAACAACGTGATGAGTGATGAAGACTATAGAAACTTCCCAATTGGTAAGCTTTCATAGAACTTAGAACATAAACTCGATCGAATTCGATTTTTTTCCTTCACTGCTATGATCGCCTTTTTTGTACGAATACTACATAGATAGCCAGATATTTTTCTGTCACAATCAGAGGAGGTTAGATTGTACATATCAATAGCCCATTTAACAAACATTCGACTACTATAGATATTCTGTAAATGGCCCAATATTTAGTACTGGTATTTTAAAGTGTATTTGTTTGTATAATCGTTTATCTTTATATATATAATTCTTCTGTGAGTGTGTATGTCACTGAACTTCTCTTAAACGACTGGACCGATTCTGATGAAATTTTTTGTGTGTGTTCAAGGGGATCTGAGAATGGTTTAGATTCACAATTTTGTCCGCTGGACAACCCCTATTTTTTTAGGGCGGTACGAAATTCGCTGGGTCAGCTAGTATTATATAAAGATAAATAATTAAATTACATGAATAATAATCGAGGGAAATATTACCTGAAAGCTACCATGTCGTTGGTAAAAAAAACACAATCAATCCAAATATGTAGTAGATATGTAGGCGTTCGAGGTGCACTCAATTATTAATTCACTGAAACCGGCAGAACCATATAAACACACTGTGGAGCATTGTTGTGGTTTTCTAAGGGATGCGATGTTCACGGACTGACATAAGACGGAGGCGCGTGTGCGTGCCGGGCAACTGCTGAGCATGTCCGGCCGAACTGTAGGGCGAGACTAGCGCTCCGGACAGAGCACGCGACGAGGCGTCCCGATCGCGGTGCGTGCACTATGAACGCCAGTTGCCTGCTGAGCCCACCCGACGAGCGACATCATTACTGCCCTCCGAGCCGAGCAAACTGCCGCGTAAATATAGAAACTGGACGTAGAACAGGAACACGAGGCGTTTAGAAGCGCACACCGTTCTACACGCGTAATGTTATTGCTTCTTCATGGGGAATATATGTATATAAAATAAAAGCTGATGAAACGCCGTAAATAACATGTAAGCCTGTCGCGTACTCACAAACCGCAGACCACAACACGTAATCTAGTCAATTATTATTGAGGTCGAACTCTGTGATCCGCTTTCAGTTTCGGAGATTCGTCCCTGATATTTAGTTTACAAAGGTAACAAACGATCATGATTTATCTACGAAGCAAATGCCGAATGAAAGGATCCCTTCCTCTGTAACCTTTAGGGGATCAGGTTCTAACTTCCATTCAGAGAGCTTTTAGCCTTGAGCGGAGTTACAATTTCCATGATATTTTAAATAAGTTAATTTAAATGAATTTATTTGTAAATTCGTTTTACTTTACTATCATTTATTTATACCTATCATTATAGATTGCCATGTAATAATTAATGTAACACAATCATAACCTAACTAGCAACCGCCGGCGACTTCCGTCTTCATAAACTATATGCGTATAAAATTTCATCCAAATCCGTTCAGTAGTAAAGGCGCATTTATATAAATATTTCAGTAAGGATTAGTAGTGTTTAAAGTTACGTTAAACAAGCGTGAAAAACCTGTACTTTGGTAGTATGCTATATTTTTTGAAAAAAATGACAAGTGATAAATATGTAAAACTAGCGGCCGGCCCGTGACTTTGTCCACGTTTTTTTAGTTTTTTGAGAATCCCAAAGGAACCCAACATTTTTCTGGTATTAAGTATTTTATTATGCCTCAATACAGGTCATAAACTATATGCATACCAAATTAACCTAATACCGTTCAGTAGTTTTTGCGTGATTGAGTAACAAACATACATACTTACATTTATAATATTTCTAGGATTAGACCTACTAAGAAAATTTATCAGAAATCTGGAGTGCGGGGAAATGTTTAAATGAAACCCTTAAATTGAAATTAATTGAATGTAAACTAAAGTTTTCTTCATTCATACGTCAGATAAGGTGTGTAGTGTATTGGATGATTGTTTGCAATAATATTAAGTCGTTTAATGTGTCTGATAAATACTCAATAAACATCAATTATTAATTTTAAATGCTTGAATAGACGATTTAAAAGATTATAGGGATCAGGCGAAAGATATATGATATTATTTGGGAATAGCAGAATTCCCGCTCAAATTAGAACCCCCATCTGGGCAGTCACCTCTACCTTACAAAAGACAGTAAAATAACACTGCCTCTTGCTGGTGTTATACATATTTCCGTTCGTGAGTAAGGTTCCAGAGATAAAAGGGGTTGGGGATTGGGGATTGGGTTCAGGACATCAAGGTAAGGATGGCTGCAGTCTAGCACACTTTTCTGCCTTCTCGGCTGATTGTCTCGTCTGGACTTGACTCCACACCCTCAACACCTTATATTAAGTGTGTGCAGAGAAAATAGCTGCACCGTCTTTAAAAAAAAAAGCAATATCAAAAGCCGGGGAGTCATAGACACCTCTTATCTATCTAAATAAATATTCTCGTCTTGATTAGCTATTACAGCTAATAAAATAGCTGTTAAAAGATCTTCATATTGATCTCGCGAAATCTCGTTCGATATTTCGGTCAAAATGGCACATATTTTTATAGATGCGTTTATATAGCCGAAAAACTTGTCAAGAGCGTTTTGGGCCATGCGCAATGTATATAGATATGCCTATCACGTAAACTTATACGTATCTATTTATTCATTTGTATAGCATCTGAAACTGAAACATTATTACTCATTTAATTAATATTATTATTGAGGATGTTTTGTTTTGCCATGACCCAATCCCCTACCCCGTGCCGATAGAAATACAAAACCACCAATAGATAGTGTTACTTAACGATAGTTATCAGTAAGGTGGAGGTTACATTACCAAACGGGCGATTCAATTCGAGTGAAAAATTCGCTCTACCCCACCCTCTCTTTACAGACATACCTGTTAGTCCCTCGCTTAAAGATAGAATAGCACGTGAACCACATCAATTAACAGCAAACAGAATCATAAAGGCAATGGGAAATTGGCTACAGCAGGAGTATGAGCTTTTTTTTGTAAGCGCGATATCTGTGACTCTATTTCTCTCTATGACTCAACTAAGAGGATCCGCAATTTTTTGAACTGCCGGTTTCGTAAAAGGGACTCGCGAACAGCTCTTAAATGTCAGCTAATTAATCGGAACGTCCTACGAATTTAAAATTTCTGGCATTTGTACTTTATTGACTATAGCAAAGGCTTCGACTGTGTTATTTGGACGGCGCCGTGAAAGATATTGGAAGATATTGTTAAGGTTAAAAGGACTGAGGTCCTCTGAGGACCAAACAAGAGTTTTTCACAGCTCCGTAAATAACGTTATCGTCAAAAATTTGATTTAGAAATCTAGTTTGTTCTTAGGTACGATAAACTGAAATTATGCTACCGCGGCCCTGATGGTCGCGTCGAAATTCTTCTAGCCATTCTTAAGCTGCAAGGCAGCGCCATCTCTTCGCATTGTAGGTAACACACAATGTCAAATGAAAACTTTTACAAGTATTAAACATTTGAAAGAAGAAATTGCAATTATAGTTGTAATATTTTTTTTTAAGCATGTAACTGCTTGATGTTTAAATCTAAAGAAAATATAACTAGAAAAAATAATAAAACATGCTTGTGCGTGCTTGCGTATGTAATATGAACGTAACGTAAGTATGTATTTTAATACATAAAAGCCAGAGTAGAGCAAAAATACGATGAGACAGCTGGTGGTTTCATGACGGTTTAGTAAAAATGAGTTTTTATACTTTAACATTGGAATGGTGGAATGAGTGTTCATTAAAACAAACCAAATAAACCCAGATTCGAGGGATCTTTTTGTTAACATTGAAGAATTCACTATTCACCTCCTGGCTTGCTTATCAGACTGGCTCAATGATATCAGATTATCGAATTGTCCTCCAAATTACATACACTTACCAAGTTTTGAATCAATATAAGAATAAGATGTAGATTGAATTCGACTTTCCAGATTTGTTTACCTAGTTAATTACAAGTGAGGCTAATATAAGCGTGTTAAAATATGTTAAGTATTGACTTGTTTGACATAAGCTCCTAAAAGATGAAATCATCAACAGATCTTGTACCAGTGAGAATAATTGTAATAATCATAATAATGTTAAATAAAAGTGAGTGTAGAAGATTATTTGAGTTCATGTTGTACTTTTTTCAATAAAAGTTTTAATCTAATGTCTTAAAGTATTTTTATTTCATTTTAATTTACCTCTGGCCATCTACACTTACAGTAGCAATATTTTTTTATTGTCGATATCGTTAAATTTAACACAGATTTTATGGACAAGAACAGTCTTGTATAGGTACAGACCTATGTTGAAACGACTACTGTTTGACAGATAAAAAGAAATGAACTTATATACATAAAACAAATGACATTTAAGATTTTCTCCCACGAAACGATTTTTTAAGTTTAGTAAAAATTATAAGTGATTGGGTAATTGTGCCAGTGAGAGTATTAAAAGACCCGGACTTATTTTTTCCGTTGTCATATTTTTATTTTATAAAATAATCTTTGAGAACAAGTAAAACTATCGATATTGTTATTTAAAGAAAAATAAAATATCGATACCGAACTTTCCCTAGTTACGATTACTTGTGATTGTCATTAGTGTGCGTAGGTGAAAAAATATATTTGTAGGCGATTGTAACAATACAAATAACTAAGGCTGTGTGAGTTTATTTCAATGTAGTGGTTTACCTCGTCCCCCTCAAAAAGTGACAGACTTCGGACTGAGTAAAATTAGGCGCGTACTTAGTCCAGTGGTTTAATGGTCTAAAGCTTTTATCACTGCTGGAGTCCTAACAGACCGAGGGCGACCACTTCTTGACCTGTCATCTACACTAGTCTTCATTGTATTGTTTAATGGTACGATAAACGAGGTATATTACCCTAGCGTAACAATTTCATAAGTCCATATCCTAAGATATATAGTATTTTGTTGCTATTTTGTGCCGCAAGAATTGATTTTGTTGCTCCAAGATTTCAGCGAAAAACGCCTGTTACGCTAGCGAAACCACAGCGATATCTCGGAGGCAAAAGCAGTTAGAGATATCAGATAAGCGGCATATTTTGTTGCTGTAAGATAAGCTGGTTAGATATGAAAAAATATAAGCCCTTATGGGGGGCTAACTACCCTTATTCTTAGATATTTCAGACTTTTCGTATCTCGTGAACTAAAGCAGCTAGCGGCACGAGACAAACGGCGTATTTTGTTGCTATAAGATAGGCATGCTGCATACATCATAATCACAACCCTTATCGGGGTATGACCAACCCCCGACCCCAAGACATCAGATATTTCGTATCTGGTGAGCTAAAGCAGCTAACGACCCGAAACCAACGGCGTATTTTGTTAGTTACTATAAGATAGGCATGCTGCGTACATCATAATCACAACCCTTATCGGGGTATGACCAACCCCCGACCCCGAAGACACCAGATATTTCGTATCTCGTGAGCTAAAGCAGCTAGCGACCCGAGACCAACGGCGTATTTTGTTGCTATAAGATAGGCATGCTGCGTACATCATAATCACAACCCTTATCGGGGTATGACCAACCCCCGACCCCGAAGACACCAGATATTTCGTATCTCGTGAGCTAAAGCAGCTAGCGACCCGAGACCAACGGCGTATTTTGTTGCTATAAGATAGGCATGCTGCGTACATCATAATCACAACCCTTATCGGGGTATGACCAGCCCCCGATCCCGAAGACACCGGATATTTCGTATCTCGTGAGTTAAAGCAGCTAGCGACCCGAGACCAACGGCGTATTTTGTTGCTATTTTAAGGCTATTAGATAGGCATGCTGCGTACATCATAATCACAACCCTTATCGGGGTATGACCAGCCCCCGACCCTGAAGACACCGGATATTTCGTATCTCGTAAGTTAAAGCAGCTAGCGACCCGAGACCAACGGCGTATTTTGTTGCTATTTAGTTACTATAAGATAGGCATGCTGCGTACATCATAATCACAACCCTTATCGGGGCATGACCAGCCCCCGACCCCGAAGACACCGGATATTTCGTATCTCGTGAGTTAAAGCAGCTAGCGACCCGAGACCAATGGCGTATTTTGTTGCTATAAGATAGGCATGCTGCGTACATCATAATCACAACCCTTATCGGGGTATGACCAACCCCCGACCCCGAAGACACCAGATATTTCGTATCTCGTAAGCTAAAGCAGCTAACGACCCGAGACCAACGGCGTATTTTGTTGCTATTTAGTTACTATAAGATAGGCATGCTGCGTACATCATAATCACAACCCTTATCGGGGTATGACCAACCCCCGACCCCGAAGACACCAGATATTTCGTATCTCGTGAGCTAAAGCAGCTAGCGACCCGAGACCAACGGCGTATTTTGTTGCTATTTTAATGCCATTAGATAGGCATGCTGCGTACATCAAAATCGCAAACCTTATCGGGGTATGACCAGCCCCCGACCCTGAAGACACCGGATATTTCGTATCTCGTGAGTTAAAGCTGCTAGCGACCCGAGACCACTGGCGTATTTTGTTGCTATAAGATAGGCATGCTGCGTACATCATAATCACAACCCTTATCGGGGTATGACCAACCCCCGACCCCGAAGACACCAGATATTTCGTATCTCGTAAGCTAAAGCAGCTAACGACCCGAGACCAACGGCGTATTTTGTTGCTATTTAGTTACTATAAGATAGGCATGCTGCGTACATCATAATCACAACCCTTATCGGGGTATGACCAACCCCCGACCCCGAAGACACCGGATATTTCGTATCTCG